GTTTAGCTTGTTTGTTTGTCACACTAACGCTGAGCTAATATATATATATATATGGTGATAGCATCGGGGCTAATGCTTTTAAGAGCCATAAAGCAAGATCAGATATTTCACAATATTTTGTAAAAGCTGGAAATGAAACTTATGATCAGTATGAAATTGTGAATTGATTTAATACTTTTTTTGTGAATGTGGAATACCAAAAGCAAACAAAAATGTGTCATACAGTCATGGGTTGTGGCAACAGTATTTTTCTTGATGGAACTGACAAAGGAGAAATCATGAATATTGTAAAAAAAAAAAAAAATCTTGCAGACAAAGTATCAAAAGACTGGATGGACATGGACATGATGTTTGTGAAGGAAATAATGAATTATGTTATTGAGATGTTTACATATACATGTGTAATTTATCATTTTCAACTGGTATATTTTCAGATAATATGAAAAAAGCGAAAGTAATTCCTCTCTATAAGAATGGTGAGGAATTTATGTTCAATAGTCACAGAACAATATCCTTGTTACCACAGTTTCCAAAGATTTTAGAGAAATTATTTGCTCTTAGATTAGATCGATTTATCGCTAAAACATTCTGTTCTGACTGACTTGAGCTTGGTTGTTTTGAACCCCAGGTGCAGGACTGAGTGAAGGCGGCAAAAAGTTGCAAAAAAGGCTTTATTAAAGCAAGAACCAAAAGTGCAGCAAAAGAACTTACAAAAATCTTGGCTCGGGATGAGAACATGGCAACAACAAACAAAGCTCTGACACGGACTGAGGACACAGAACAGAATATAAAGGATAACTAATGAGCTAAAACAAGAAACACCTGGGGCAGAAACATGAGGATCAGGTGTGAGTGGGCGGGGCCGAGCAGAGGCAGGCAGGACGAAAACAGAGGGACATGACAGAAAATTTGAATAAAATCAAAAGAAAACATGAAACCAGACATAACACATTCTGAGCAGCAGTCAGTTTGGGTTTAGAGCTCGTAATTACACGTCAATGGCACTCAAACATTAAGATTAAAAATAGCTAAATCCATTGCAGCAATGTACAAAGTAAAGGATTTATTTAATGATAAAGCTGTGTTTATATTATATAACACAATAATTTTTCCACACGATCTACTTTATTGATGTTTGGGGAAAAGCATGGAAAATAAAATTACAAACTCTATTTTTGTATTACAGAATAGAGCCGTAAGAATTATCACCAGAAAGCATTACTATCACCCATCAAATTCATTGTTCCATCAGTTAAAGTTATTGAAATTCTATGATTTGATTGATTATGGTGTTTTATCAGGGATGTATAGGGCTCATAAAAACACATTACCTTCAAACATCCAATTACATTTTGTTAAAAGAAAGTTGTTACAATCTCAAGGGGGTAGAGATGTTTGTTAAACCCAAATTTAGAACCATTTTGAAAGAACGGAGTACTTCAGTCCAGGGTGTAAGATTATGGAATAATCTGGAGGATGACATTAAAAATGCCGGATCAATGTAAATTTGTTGGAGAAATGTGTAAATGTATAATGTATGAATTGTTGCTCAAGGAGTTAAACCTTAATAATTTTTTTTGTAAACAGAAGATTATTTTTGATTCAATTTATTTATCTGAGAAAAAGGGGCAAATATAATAAGATCTTTTTCTTCTTCTGCTAGCTTTCATTTCGTTTATGATTTGCATTTTTGTTGTTTGTTGAATTTATGTTGTGTTTTTAAAGAAATGAATAAACTTAAACTTATTTTAACATAAAAGAAGCCCCAACTAAGTATTGAGTTATGTACATGTTTATACTTTTATACTTTTTATGCTTATGTAGGGTGTACCCCACCCACTATGGGAACCATTAACCCCTGTGACCCTAAAAAGGAAGAAGTGGATATAATAGATGGACAGTTTCAGACTATTTTTAGATTAAACTGATTTCTTTATTTTTATACAACTTTAATGTAAATTTAAGGCTGAGATAAGTTAAATATCTTCTCTTAAATATATTATTATTGTAAGAAATATTCGTGTTCAAAGGCTGAAGACAATAGAAAACCACCAATGTTAAATAATATGATTGTTAGACGAAATAAAACCATACAAAACCAGAATTCTGGAGTGAGGGTTTATTACCATTCGGGTCTGACAGGAAACCACACACTGCCAGCCAAACAGGAAATCGATCCATTTATACAGAATCTTCAATGCCCGCGTTCGCCCCCTACTGACCTACGGCTGAATCACAGGTATTCAAACACAATTCTCCCCGAATGTTTTCATAATGTATAAATATGTGTCGTTATACATATTTCGGACATGTAACTAATCTATATCAATCAACACATTATAGATTAAACATTATGAAAAGGAAAACCTAAAAATAGAGTGTTGTGCTTTTAACATCAGTACTAATCTGTAATAACTATAAATTTCTTCATTGTTATAAGTATTTTTTTTCCTCCTGTAAACTTTTTTAGCACGTTATTTAATTTGTCACTAAAGAAAAAGTTGAACAAATGTATCAAACACTGAAAAACAAGCAGTTGTTCTAGAAAGAAGTAAACAATAAAATAAAATAAAATGTACACCAATAGGTGGCATCTGAGTCCAGCTCCACAGCCCTGCTGCAACAGTAAACACAGTGGTGCAAAAACACCTGACGTAAAACGATTCACAACAAAACCACCTCATAATAATTTTAACTTCATTTCTGGCAGTGACAAAGAAAAGTAAAAGCTTGTATCTGCATCTGACTTCTCTCTAAGAAGTAATAAATGAAGTGTCTGTTTTTAAGATCATGTTTTGCAACATAAAACCTTCAGCAGGAGCCTGCAGGATCTGATGGCCTTCTGCTGAACTTGGACAGGAGTGTCAGAGCACAGAAACTGAAGCAGGGTTTCTTGTTACAGCAACGACAGGATGTTTTGACCCCTGTAGCTCTCCTGACAGAACAGAGTGACCAGTGTGGCTCATCTAAGCTTCACAAAGGGTGTCGGAGTGTCATGTTGCTGGGAAATGTTATATTACTGCTGCCAATCACGAAGCAGCCATGGTAACCTGAGTGACTGTTGAGGCTTTGTCTTGAACACCAACATGAAGAGCTTCTGATGCTTATCAGAACATACAAAGATATATTTGTTCCCCTCCTTCTGCCTCATTAAAGCAACGTTCTGTTGATACACTACCGGTCACAAGTTTGGAAATACTTTTTCATTTGATGTTTCTTTTTTTTCTTACATGCGTCCCTTCATAGTCTGGATGATTTTGGTGTTGATTTACATTGTAGGAAAAAGAGAGAAAGAACACAGAATGAGAGGGTGTAATGTATCTGCCTTTTCCTGTGTGATGCAGCAAGCCAAAGTTATTGTGAAAACAAACCATTTGTCGTTTATTTTCCAAAATATTTTTAAAATGGTAAGAACAGTGGCGGCTGCAGAATTTTTTTCAGGGGGGGCCATGGG